CACAGATTACTAGGTAAGAGGGCTAATAAAACAGCTTTGAACGAAAAAAAAACACCATAATCATCAGTAAGACTCAATGAATTATAAATCCACAATTATGTCTGATCTTTCTACATTACCCCTACAAAAAAGTAGAAACAATCTCACATCCAATGTCGCAAGTTACCTACACTTGACGTGTCGTCAAAAATAAGGATTCTCACTATTTTTTAGAGACAAGAGACCCATTGTCGTACGCTCTTTGTGTGCCCAGCTGCTAGACGAGAAAAAATGCCGTGCATTAGCCTAGCTCACAGCAACCACAACTCTGGGCTCAAACAATCCTGCCTTGCCCCCAAGTAGCTGGGACTGCAGGCATGCGCCATCATGCCCGGCTAATTTTTTCTATATATATTAGTTGGCCAATTAATTTCTTTCTATTTATAGTAGGGACAGGGTCTCACTCTTGCTCAGGCTGGTTTTGAACTCCTGACCTTGAGCAATCCGCCTGTCTTGGCCTCCCAGAGTGCTAGGATTACAGGAGTGAGCCACCAAGCCCGGCCTAAGATAGATTCTTTAGATGTTAAGATTAAACATGTGGGGGAAGAAGGCTGGTGAGCATCATATAAAAACTTGTAGTCTGTGGAGTCTCCCTTAATAGGAAAATTTTTTGTCTCATAAAGAAATATGTAATTTATACTTATTTTTTTTTTTTGAGACAGAGTCTCGCTTTCTTGCCTAGGCTAGAGTGAGTGCCGTGGCGTCAGCCTAGCTCACAGCAACCTCAAACTCCTGGGCTCAAGCGATCCTCCTGCCTCAGCCTCCCGAGTAGCTGGGACTACAGGCACGAGCCACCATGCCCGGCTGATTTTTATATATATATATTAGTTGGCCAATTAATTCTTTCTATTTTATGGTAGAGACAGGGTCTCGCTCAGGCTGTTTTGAACTCCTGACCTTGAGCAATCCGCCCGCCTCGCCTCCCAGATGCTAGGATTACAGCGTGAGCCACCGCGCCGGCCTATACTTATTTTTAATAAAATCAGTAAAGTAAGGAAAATAATTAAAATCACCCCAGATCCGTCTGGGCGCGTGGCTCACGCCTGTGATCCTAGCACTCTGGGAGGCCGAGGCGGGCGGATTGCTCAAGTCAGGAGTTCAAAACCAGCCTGAGCAGACCCCGTCTCTACATAAAAAAGAAAGAAATTATTGCGAACTAATAATATAATATAAAAATCAGCCGGGCATGGTGGCGCATGCCTGTAGTCCCAGCTGCTCGGAGGCTGAGGCAGGAGGATCGCTTGAGCCAGGAGTTTGAGGTTGCTGTGAGCTAGGCTGACACCACGGCACTCACTCTAGCCTAGCAAGAAAGCGAGACTCTGTCTCAAAAAAAAAAAAAAAAAAAAATCACCCAGATCCACCAACACAACTATGTGATAATCATATTAACTTTTGAGGCATATTCCTCTTTTTCTTTTTTTTTTTTTGAGATAGAGTGTCACTCTGTTTTTTTGAGATAGAGTGTCACTCCTGGGCTAGAGTACTGTGGCATCAGCCTAGCTCACGGCAATCTCCAACTCCTGGGCTCAAGCAGTCCTGAGTAGCTGGGACTACAGGCATGTGCCACCATGCCTGGCTAATTTGTTCTATATATTTTTAGTTGTCCAGCTAATTTCTTTCTTTTTTTTTTGAGACAGAGTCTCACTTGTTGCCCAGGCTAGAGGAGTGCCATGGCATCAGCCTAGCTCATAGCACCTCAATCTTCTAGGCTCAAGCAATCCTGCTGCCTCAGCCTCCGAGTAGCTGGGACTACAGCATGTGCCACCATGCCTGGCTAATTTTCTATACTTTTAGTTGTCCGATAATTTCTTTCTTTTTTAGTAGAGACGGTCTCACTCTTGCTCAGGCTGGTCTCGAACTCCTAATCTAAATGACCGCTCCGCTTGGCCTTCCAGATGCTATGATTACAGCGTGAGCCACCGCGCCTGCCTCAATTTCTTTTTAAAAAACTAGTTAATTGAGGATACAATGATACGTGCATATAAACAATTCAAGCAGCATACAGATTGAGAAAGTAAAGTAAAGAAATTACCTCAAATTTTTCCATCCAGAAATAAGTATATTTATATTTCGGGAAACTTTATTGAGACATCAATGTGTGTGTATGTGTGTGTGTTTTGTACGTGTGTATGTGTATGTATAAACATATAGAAGGATAGGGTAGTAGTTGTAGAAATACTTTTAAAGTGAGATTAACTATTAGTTGCTTTTTTATAAAAGTATTAATATTTAACTGAATTTACTTGAAGCAATTGTTAAACTTCAAGTAAATCTTTTTCTTTACCACATTAGATAATATTTTATAAAAGATTGCTTTAAGGATTAAAGATGAAAAATATTAAGAGATAATATCTTTTTTAACCCATATTTTATTAGAGACATTATTTGTTGACTTTATTTGAAGATAAAGATATAAGCACTTTTAATTTTTATCTCCTCCCTTATTGTTATATTGTTCACATGTATTCAGTGTTCATCATCAGTCTTTAGCATGGTTTCCATTCCTAAGTTTTTGTTGTGTTGTTATTTTAGATTGGCTGGATTTTGTAATTCTTTTTTTTTTTTGACAGAAGGGCCCATGAGTACTATAATTTATTTATTTATTTTAGTCCTTTTATGTTGAGAATGTCTGGCTTTTTGCCTTTATACTTGAACTACATCTTGGCTGGGTTTATGTTCTTGGTCCACACTTTTCCTTAGAAACTTGGTAGACTTGTCCTGTTGTCTTCTGGCATTGAATGTTGCTGTGGAGAAGTCTGAGGCCAGCCTGATTTTTTCCCCTCCTTGTAAGTGACTTGCTTTTTCTGTCTGATTGCCTGAAAATTTCTCATTTTATCCACAAATGTCAATAGTTTTAATTACGGTGTTTTTTGGTGTTAATTTAGATAAATTCCTGGAATTTGTGCTCTTTTTAAAAATCAACTTTATGAGTTGATGATTTATATATAATAAAATATGTTTGTTTCAAGTATATAGTAGATTAAGTTGTTGACAGCGTATATACTCGTAACCATCGCTCCATCACAGACGATGATCAAGAACATTTCTGATGTGCTCTTTTGATCTGCAGATTCAATTTTCATTTCAGGAAATTCTTCTTGTGTTGTATCTTTGAATATAGCTTATTTCCCATTTGTTAGTTTCAGGACACCAATTATTCATATGTTGGATCG